TATAGGGGGCACGATAGACACAGTGGTACACACCAAACAGAGTTACTGAACAGAAATTTTAACTATTACAATTATTATATATTATATATACAGTATATTATATTATATCTGGAGATATTTTAATCGCGGTTTTACAGATACTATATGAATGTGAGATTTACTTTTAAGGAAAGGTACTTTTAAAGTGAACACAGATATATACGCATGGATTTTCTGGACCGTTCTACAGATCAGTCTCTCGACCGACCAGGGAATCCTCATTTAAATTAACGATAAAACTAATATACGAGTATTATAATACACGTTACTGAGTACGTTTACAATAGTACCGCATGTCGCTGTCCAATTAGAATCTCTGGATCGGTTCTACGTTCTATCGGGAATGATCATTGCTCACTGATTCTTCTGTGTACTGCCACCAAAGAGTTGCGTTAATCTTAAAGAAATTAAAAAGTATAAAAAAAGAAAAAAAAAAATAAAAAAAAAATAACCAAAAAAAGAAAAACAAAAAGAAAAGAAGAAGGAAGAACGAGAGAGAAAGAGAGAGAGAGAGAGAGAGAAAATTGCTGCCAGTTGTGATTCATGGACAGAATGAAATTATTTGCTACCTCAATTTTATATATCGAAAAGATTTTTCACATTTATCGGCCTTTTACGGATTTATGAATTAAGAAAAGCTTTTAATTCTATTTCATTCAAAACCAATGAGGGTATATCGTCGATATATATATATATATATATATATATTTCGCAAAGTGATTTATTGTAAATAAGTAATTGCTTGACGAAAATGTTTTCATAGGGGGAGAAAAAGATTGGAAGAATTTTTCCCCTCCTCTCTCCCCCTGGCATAATTCATTGTCTCCCTGATATTTTTGCATTCATTCTTAAAAAGAAAAATCCTTAACGCTTCTGATCTCTGACGATTACTTTAGTACAAGTTAACATTGTTGCTCGTGAAGAAGAAAAAAAAAAAAAAATAAAAAAGAAAAGAAAATGTAAACGTATTCAGTACATGGGTCTATCTATATCTATAGTTCGACACAAGTAGTTAAGTAGCGCGAAACCATCACAGCTTAGTATCAGGAGAAAAAAAGAAAAAAAAGGAAAAAAAGAAGAAAAAAACCTGCCTCGCATGCGTCTCTTTAAAAAACGTTCTTTTTTTTTTTTTTTTTTTTATATCTTCTTTTCTTCTTCTTCTTCTTTTCCGTTCTCATTGTCCGTAAATAGGGAATTGATGTGAACTTTTTAGCCGATACGACAGAAAAACGCGCACGTTCACGACGATTTATTTCATGATTTCCTTCTCGCGATGGGGAAAAAAAAATGAAACGGGGCGCTTTACATACACATACACACACGTATACACGTATACACATATACGCAATAACTATGATTCGTCTTCCAAGCTTCACAGCACGCTACTGGATCCTATCTAGATATCCGAGCTATGCAATTATTAGATATACTTTTCATGCCCAAATTCTCATGCGAATTTGAAGCAATATATGTATCGGTTTGGCAGCGGTGATGGTTGACGCGTGATCGTCGTAATTAATAATGTCTCCGTCTGTGAAAAAAAAAAAATTCATCTGCGGATCAACGTACATCGATCCTCGCCCCGTTATTATTTATTTTGTATCGATCGATCAAAAAAATGGAGAGAAAAAAAAAAAAAAAA